ATATATATGTCATTGTAAAAGTTAAATTATACATTTATTAGTGTAATAGTCAATGCAATGCAATGTAGAAAAACACATTCAAATTTTAAAAATAATTGTATTTATTTTATTTATATTTTCAAAAAAATTTATAAATATTTAACATAATCATTATTTCTTAAAATAATAATATAAATTAATATATTGCATTAATATATTGTTAATTACAATCTAAATATAAAACTTAAATGTAATCGATGAAAAAACTATTAAATCATAAAATTATAGAAATAAGTATTATTTAATATATTATTTTCTCACTAATAATAACTTTAATTTTGGTATTAAAAATTATAAATATTTGTGTTTATTATTTAATTCATTCAAACCCTAATAAATATAGAGACGTTATAATAGAATAATTTGGTCATTAATATTAATATCATTTAATGTATTTAAATCAAATTAGAAATTTGATAATAAGTATTTATGTTTTGTATGTAGGAGTTGAAGAATCCACAAAAGATATGATTAATATTGAACAAAAAATTACTTGAAATATAAATTAATTTTCATATTTTTAGTAAAATATATATATATATATATTAATGTATCATTAATAAAATGAAATGCCAATTACATTATATATAAATAAATAAAGTTTTATAGTAACATTCTTTTAATTATATACATGTAATTTAATAGTCATTTTAAGAAATAATTATCGCACCAAAAACTTATAAATAAATAAAAATCGTGCATTTAATAGTTATCAATTAAGAAAAAAATTATTACATGGAGAATTTATAAAAATATTATACATTTTATTCTAAGTAAGATAACATAAGATAAAATAATATATCTTTAACAAAATGTAAAGAATATTAAGATCAACATCTGAAATGAAATTGAGCTTGACAGAATATAAGTGGATTAAAAAATTAGATCTTTTAAATTATAAATTAAATAGTTATTAAACATAAAATAAAATATTCATAAATTAACAAAATATTAATTGAGTTATGAGAATTTTTTATTAAGCTTTAGAGACAAATCAACAAATTTAATAATCTTCTTTCATTATTTTTTAATTTTATTGGTTAGAGTAAAAAAAAATTTAATAAATTATTTAAAAATAAATACACCAATACTTGAATAAATGAATTAATTTAAATTAATTTTTTACTTCATCATTTTATATGTTGTGTAACTTTAAATTTAACTTTATTTTATATTTAACTATAATTATAATTTAAATTAACTTTTTGTCTTTATCTTTATATTTTATTTTTGTAAGAATTGAATTGTTGAAATTATTATATATCATCTTTATCATATAAGCTGCAAAAAGGAAATTAGAAGTATATTTATATTATCATTTTTATAAAAATAAAAATAAAAATAAAAAACAATATACAACATAATCCTATTTAATTTTTAAAGCACATATATATATATATAGTGTAACGACCCGCCATGGTCTCTACATTTAGTGGAATAACATTACTACTAGTAAACTACGAGAAATATTAAGAATTGGACAACTCATATATACAGACATATTTATAAATAAAATAACTAAGTTTCTACGTACAAAATATAACATCATATATGTACAGTCATCCAAAATAACATCATCCTAGTGTCGTTCAAGCACAACCAACAACTACCTAAGAAGGTAACTTTGCCACTGGGACAAAACTCCACAACTCGCAGCGGTCACCTCAACTCCAAGCTAGCCCTAACCTACTCCCATACAAAGTATGATCATTGCAATCCATCAACATGGAAACATAAGGGTAAGCTAGAGTTCAAAAAGCAATCCTACAAGTACAGAATAAAATATATACTACACATGCATCCAAATCAAGTCCTAAAGGAACTTCCATCTCAATTGTAACAGAAAAAAATGTGGCTGATTTAGTAGCCCAGAACGGGCCGTTCCAAGCTATTAAATTGACCTGAAAATCGTACTTGAGAATGGGCCGTTCTAGAGGGAGAACGGGCCATTCTGGATGGAGAACGGGCCGTTCTGGAGGGGAGTACGGGCCGTTCTGGATGGAGAACAGGCCGTTCTGGATGAGTTCCAGAATGGGACGTTCTGATTTTAGAACGAGCCATTTTACATGTGATTTTTGCACATGATGAAAAGCAGACAAATAACAAGACAGGATATCAGAAGGCCTAAAGGTCAAATAAGGTTGTTTTAGTAGCCCGAAATGGGCTGTTTCAGAATCGGAACGGGCCGTTCCAATATCAGAACGGGTCGTTCCAACGTGACTAAAACAACTAAAAATCCAATACTGGAACAGGCCGTCTGAATTTAAGCAGGCAAACAGATATGAAAGCCAAACAAATAAAACAAACAAGGTAAAGGGGAAAATATTTAAATTATTATTTTTATTTTGTTAATTTCATCAATTAAATGGGCCTGACCCTCTTTAAACGTCCCCAATGGAGTCGCCATCTATCGCAACCTGAATATTTCTGATCTCGCGACTAATGGTTTAGACATCCTTTTAAAAGTCTCATTAATTAAGGAATGCCCAGACACCAGACTAATCCTTAATTTATGGTTTTGAAAATGAGTTCATGGAGTCCCCACCAATATTTTATTCAAAACATTGGAAAAAGAAAAGGTTTTTAAAGACCCAATAATGGCCTTGATAACCAGAATTGGGTTCGGGGATCGGTTACATGTAGGGAAGGTATTAAGCACCCCTACAGCGCCCTCAATCGGTACCCTATGATGAAGTTAACGTGATAAGAATTAATAAATTAAATATTAGATCCCCTTTATTAATAACTATTTACATGCTTAAAATATAAATTAGGCGATTAACCCTAAAATATTTACATTATGACGTTTATTATAACAAACAAAAGTGATAAAGATGATGAATAAAAGGAAGAGAAGAAGATTGACTGAAATACCTCTTAACGAGCTCTATTGAATCTTCAGATATGGAGAAGGTGCTTTGTGGCGACCTTTCACACTACAGTATGCCTCACAGATCTCAAGAAATACAATAGGAGGGAGGAAGAAGATAGAGATGCGACACAAATCTCAAGAAATATAATAGAAGGGAGAGAGATAGAGAATTTTCGTGCTCAAAGGAGTCTTATTCAAAATTTCTCTGGCCGCCAATCTCTGTATAA